CAACATATTTCAAGGATCATTCACCATGACTAGGTGGGCTTCATTTCAGGGATGCAGGCCTGATTCAACATTCACAAGACCACAAACACAATTCAGCAGATTAACAGTTGTAAAACCAAGAGCCACATAATTATCTCATTAGATGCAGAAAAAGCATTTGATAAAATCCAGCATCTCTCTTGATAAAAATCCTTGAACACCCAGGCATTAAAAGAACATTCATCAAAACAATAAGAGCCAGCCATGACAAACCTGCAGCCAATTTTATGCTTGGTATTATGCTTGAAAGCATTACCCCTGAAAACTGGAACAAGACAAGGATACCCACTCTCACCTCTCCTATTCAACATAGTACTGGTAGTCCTAATCAGAGCAATCAGGCAGAAGAAAGAAATCAGGGCTATCCAAATAGGAAAAGAAGAAGTTAAATTATCCCTCTGTGTGGATATGATTCTATACCTAGAAAACCCTAGAGAGTCTGTCAAAAACCTCCTTGCACTGATAAACGACTTTGGTAAAATCTTGAGATACAAAATCAACACGCAAAAGACAGTTGCACTTCTATATACCACCACCAAGCAGGCTGAAAACCAAATTAAAAAACACAGTAGACACACACACACACACACACACACACACACACAAATAAATGCCTTGGTATCCACCTAACCGGAGAAGTGAAAGACCTTTACACTAAGATCTACAAAACACTGCTGAAAGAAATCGTGTGACACAAACAAATGGAAAATCAACCCATTCTCATGGAATGGAAGAATCAATATTATCAAGTTGTCTAGCCTACCCAAGGCAATATACAGAATCAATGCAATCCCTACCAAATTGTCAACATCATTTTTCACAGACCTAGAAAAGACAATACAGAATTTCATATAGAAGCAAAAAGAGCACAGATAGCCAAAACAATTCTCAGCAAAAGGAACAAAGTGAGAGGTATCACATTTCTAGACTTTAAGTACACAAGGCTACAGTATACAAGGCTACAGTAGCTAAGACAGCATAGTACTGGTACAGGAATAGGTACATAGACCAATGAGACAAGACAGAGAATTCAGTAATAAAAATATGATCTCTCAACAAACTCATAAATAACAAACAATGGAAAAACATGGCAACCATATGTAGCAAATGATACTGGGAAAAGTGGCTAGCCACATGCAGGTGAATGAAACTGGACCCCCTACCTATCACCATATACAAAAATCAACTCAAAATGGATCAAAGACTTAAATATAAAACCTGAAACTATAAGTGTCTTAGAAGAAAACATAGGAAACACCCTTTTGGACATCAGAGTAGGTAACAAATTCATGATCAAGTCCTCAAAAGCAATTGCAACTAAAGCTAAGATAGACAGGTGGGACTATCAAACTGAAAAGCTCTTGCACAGCAAAAGAAACTATCAAGAGAGTAAAGAGACAACCCACAGAATGGGAAAAAATATTTGCAAGCTGTGTATCATGCAAAGGCCTAACATCCAGGATCTACAAGAAACTCGAATTGAAAAGAAAAAAGCAAACAACCCCATTACTATAGGAGAGGGAAGTAGGTAGGATGTTATCTAAGGGAGATTTCCCAACATACAGAAAAGGCCATAAGGATCCTTCCTGGGCTGGCAGGAGGAACTTGGGAGAGAAGGAGAGAAGACAAGAGAGGAGCTTTGGTTTGACCCACCCCCGCCCCTTCACAGGATTGAAATGGATCTGGGCACAGAAGATATACTCGCCCTTTCTTCTGCCTGAAGATCTTGGAGGAGATCAGCTCACAGAATGAGTCACACCAACAATTCGGCCTCCTTAATCACTAGAGAAATGCAAGTCCAAACCACAATGAGATACCACCTGACACCAGTAAGTATGGCTATCATCAATAAGTCAAAAACAATAGGTGCTGGTGCAGCTGCAGAAAAAAAGGGATTTATAGGATGTAGGAACACAATGCTTCTACAATGTTGGTGGGAATGTTAGCTAGTTCAACCTCTAAGGAAAACAGTGTGGTAATTCCTCAAAGAACTAAACATTGAGCTTCCATACAATCCAGCAATCCCTCTCCTAGGAAGAGACCCCGAACAAATCACTTTACCAAGAAAGACACCGGCACACGCATGCTTATTGCAGCACTGTTCACAATAGCAAAAACATGGAGCCAACCCAGATTCCCTTCTAAAGTGGACTAGATAAAGAAACTGTGGCACATATGTGGGGCTTATGCATAAGTGTGTAGTGTTTTTCACTTGCCCGTGGAAGGAAATGGTTGATTGGTCATAGCGCATCACATTTGACAATCCTTGGGTTGACTGATGTGGATCACTGTGGATTAAAATGTTTAAGCAGTCTTCATCAAAACCCAATGGTTTGATGGTGTTCCTGAATGTGGAGAATCACTCAGGTCAAAGTGGCCCTCTTTGACATAACAGACCATTTTTCTGCTGTGCTTTCTTGATGTCATTCTCCACATACATGGCACAAACGTATTGAGCCGCCTCCGCTGCCTTTACTCCTCTGTTAGAAGAGTATGTCCGAAGTATTTGTTTTTATCCAAGACACTTCATCTTCTTTAGCCCATAAATAGCATCAACTTTCTTCAAATTTACAAAATGCAAGATGTATTTACAAGTACAACATTGTCACTCCAAATGACAAATGACAACAAACAAACTCCCAACACTGCAATGTTGCCATGCCAAAACACTATGAACTTATGTATCAACCTAATACATGACGGGATATTATGTAGCCATAAAGAAGATCAAAATCATGGTCTTCACGACAACTTGGATGCAACCGGAGACCATCATACTAAGTGAACTATTACAGAAACAAAGAACTGAATACTGCATGTTCTCACTCATAAGTGGGTCCTAAACACTGGTCACACTAGCACAGGGGTGGGATTGGCAGACCCTGGGCACTGTTAGGGGAGGGAGGGAAGGAGAGAGGGAGAAGGGGCATGTAGGAACACAATGGGTACCTGGTCTACTATCAGAGGGAGAGAGGGCCAGCTCAAAGTCCAAACTTCACCTGCATGCAACCTAGTTGTGTAGTAAATCCCCACTTGTACCCTGCAATTCTAAAATAAATAAATTTTTTTAAAAAACAAACTTTTTTTGAATAGTATGCTAGCCAGTGAAGAGAGGTGTGGGTATGGACGGTTTCGAAAGGAGTTAGCAAAAGGATGTCATATATACTGTTGCCAACACTTGGAACACAGTGACTAGAGACACAGTTGTATGTGCCTGACACAACCTCTGGTCTGTGACTGGGTTCAGTGATGTTGATAATGATGATGAACAAGGTGATGACTTGAAAAAATTCTCTGTGTCAAGTGAGAAAAAAATAATGCTGACCTCCTTACATATGCCAGACATATGCCTTCAGAGTCTGTCAATAAACTAGAAGAAGCGAATATCAAAAAAGTTTTTAACATCAGTTATGAGGTTCTAGTTGTTCATTCATTGGCCAATGTTGAAATAGCCAAAATGGTTCTGAATCAAGGTGACTGTGATAACAATGATGATGAAGATCTTAACAACTGTAGAAAAAGTGTCTATAGATGGCACAGTAAAAATGTACAATGGGCTGATTGAAGGACTAAGAGTAATACAATAGCTGCTTATCAGTAGCGTGTAAATTCAGAGTCAAGAATGGTGACAACGTGAAACAACCACAGATTGGCCACATGGGTGGCTGAGAGAGTGACACCTTTGCTTTCTGATGGTTCCATGTACACAAACTTTGTTTCAAGTACAAAATTATTAAAAATTGTGTAAAATTACCTTTGGGTTGTGTGTATAAGGCGTTATGAAACATAGGTGAATTCTGCATTTAGACTTGGGTCCTATCCCCAAGATAACTCATGTGTATGCAAATATTTCAAAATTAAAATATTTCAAAATTTAAAAAAAATCCCAAATCCAGAACTCTTCTTGTCCCAAGCATTTTAGATAAGGCATATTCAACCTGTACCTAGAATTGAAATTTCTTAATACAAGAATTCACCAAAAATAAAGGGGCTGAATTACCAAATATTTGAGCATTCACTTCTAAATCTGCCTTATCTAGGCTGTGTCCTGATTAGAAAAAGAACAGGGCATTGTCCTGTCTGGTGTTTTGTGCCTGCTTCTCAACCAGGAGACTGGCCACATGTCTAGGGAGGATTCTCCCTCTCCCACCTCCCCATCCCTGAGGATATCTCAGTGAAGCCAAATGAGCACTCGAGGTTCGTGAAAGAGTCCTGTGGCCATGTTGGCAAGGAAGGGAGTTCGTGTGTGAGTGAATGCTGCTTTGTAGCCTAGGTTTGTTTGCAAAGTCTGAGAGCTGCATTGTCATTTTACTTCCTAACTTTGCAAATATTAGACCCATAATACCACTAACATTAAAACTGTTCAACGTTGGGCTCTCTTCTCATGCACATGCTGGAAACACTAAAGATTTTACATATATGCATCTGACCCATGAACACTTAATCCTCAAAAACTGGTGTGGTACCAAAGTCAGACCCCATTAAGATTTTGAAAAACTTTGAGTTTAAGAAACAAAGGCAGAGGGTAGGAAAAACACCAATTAAAGTTAATAGCACTCAGCAAAATTTGTTACTTTCTTTATTTGACATTTTATTCTTCAAAATTATGAAAGAAAATAAAATGTTTCATATCCCATAGCTGTGCCTATTTTTTTAACTGTTATAAAAATAAAGCTGTTATGTTTATTTCTTAAGGTGTGCTGATACTTGTTAACTCAGTATCATAACTTATGTTCTATAGCTCCTGGATTTTAAAAAGTGTCAGGAATCCCACTAGTTATTATTAAAATGGTTATTACACAAGGCCCCCCCCAAAAGTTTTTAAGGAAGACATTTGAATGCAGGTAGTTTAGTTTGTAACTTCGCAAATACCATTCTGAAATTGGGAACGTCTGCATTGCTTCATGATAACTGATCTAAGGCAGAAGACCATTAACCTACCTCTTACTTTTCATTTGAAGTGTTTCTTTCAGGGAAATCGTGGTGAGCTTGCTGTCTCATCAAGTGTTACTCCAGAACTTATATGATATCTTGTTAGAAGAGTTTGTCAAAGGCCCCTCTCCTGGAGAGGAAAAGACCGTCCAAGTGCCAGAGCCCAAGCTGGCTGGCTTCCTCAGATACATCTCTATGCAGAACTTGGCGGTCATCTTCGACCTGCTGCTGGACTCATACAGGACAGCCAGGGAGTTTGACACCAGCCCTGGGCTGAAGTGCCTGCTGAAGAAAGTGTCTGGCATCGGGGGTGCTGCCAACCTCTACCGTCAGTCGGCGATGAGCTTTAACATTTACTTTCATGCTCTGGTCTGTGCTGTTCTCACCAATCAAGAAACCATCACTGCAGAGCAAGTGAAGAAGGTCCTTTTTGAGGATGATGAGAGAAGCACAGATTCCTCCCAGCAGTGTTCATCAGAAGATGAAGACATTTTTGAGGAGACAGCCCAGGTCAGCCCCCCGAGAGGCAAGGAGAAGAGACAGTGGCGGGCACGGATGCCCTCCCTAAGTGTCCAGCCGATCAGCAATGCTGACTGGGTATGGCTGGTCAAGAGGCTGCACAAGCTGTGCATGGAACTGTGCAATCACTACATCCAGATGCACTTGGACTTGGAAAACTGCCTGGAGGAGCCCCCGATCTTCAAGAGCGACCCGTTCTTCATCCTGCCCTCCTTCCAGTCTGAGTCATCCACCCCTTCCACTGGAGGCTTCTCTGGGAAAGACACACCCTCCGAAGATGACCGAAGTCAGCCCCGGGAGCACACAAGCGAGTCTCTGAGCCTGAGGGGGGGCAGCGGGGACGTGCTGCTGCTGCCCCCCAGCCCCAAAGTGGAGAAGAAGGATCCCAACCGGAAGAAAGAGTGGTGGGAGAATGCAGGGAACAAAATCTACACCATGGCGGCTGACAAAACCATTTCCAAGTTGATGACTGAATACAAAAAGAGGAAACAGCAGCACAACCTGCCCACATTCCCCAAAGAGGTCAAAGTGGAGAAGAAGGGAGAGCCGCTGGGTCCCAGGGGCCAGGACTCCCCGCTGCTCCAGCGGCCCCAGCACTTGATGGACCAAGGACAGATGCGGCATTCCTTCAGTGCAGGCCCTGAGCTGCTGCGGCAGGACAAGAGGCCGCGCTCGGGCTCTACTGGGAGCTCCCTGAGCATCTCGGTGAGGGACGCGGAAGCACAGATCCAGGTATGTCCCTTGGGACAGAGAAGGCGGGAGGGAAGCTGGGACTGCGAGATCAGACGTGTCCCTCACAGAGCACATACAATCTAAGACTTGATAAAAACAGGGAGGGTATATGAACCAATTTCCCCCCAGTTTCAGAGGGCTGCCTGAGCCTAAATGGACGATCTGTCCAAATCGATATATTTTACCCTCAGATAATTTCAGAACTGTTTTTATCCATTGAGATAAAACATATATTATTGAGAATTAGGAACCCACCTGTATAAATAAGATGAGGCTAAAGCTTATAAAATTTTTGGACTTTAACTGGCATTGAGTACTTAGTCTGGAATTTTTAAAAGGCACTGAGGCAATTCTATCATTAAGAAACACTAAGTAAAGGAAAAAGGCAAAGTGAATATTGTGTGGTTATAGCAGTGGATTGTGTTAATTTCAAGTTTTTCTAAAAATCATAAGCAACACTCCAAGACATGAAAAAGCAATTAAGATTTTTAAAGTTATCTTAAATTAAGGAAGACTTATTCCAAGTCATCTGGGCATTTTGAACTTATCGTATGACTTATGGAAATCTCATGAAAAGGTGAGTTTTGTTGTTGTTTTTAAATCTAAGGAGTTTGTGAAAGCCGAAAATGAGACATCTCTAATGTTATGAGTCTCTGCTCATCCTTATGTGCCTAAAGTTAAAACAACAGTTTGTTATAAGCACATCAGATTAGTGAAGACTAATTTACTGCAGCTTAAGTCTGAGAGAACCCATGCACAGACTGGCAGGGCCACACTCAAAGTGTTGAAATGAAACCGCGGGGGAAAGCCACTAATTCTCTTAAGTCCTTTCTCTTAGGCGTGGACCAACATGGTGCTAACAGTTCTCAATCAGATTCAGATCCTTCCAGACCAGACCTTCACAGCCCTCCAGCCTGCAGTGTTCCCTTGCATCAGCCAGCTGACCTGTCACGTGACCGACATCAGAGTTCGCCAGGCCGTGAGGGAGTGGCTGGGCAGAGTGGGCCGCGTCTATGACATCATCTTGTAGCAGTCTCCCAGATCATCCCCAAGAAGATCCAGTAGTGAGGGTTAGAGTCTGCCTGCTAATCCAACTGATAGCATTTTCCCCACCACAGGCCCCACTCTAGCTAGTGTCTCAGAGAACAGTGTTTCCTAATGTAAAGAAGTCTTTCCAGCCACACCCTAACTAGTCAGCATTGGGGCCATTCTGGATACTAAGAATGTATCTAGATGACATAAACGATACTCTGATTTTGCACATTGTTATAGAAGAGTCTACATTCCTCAAGATGTTTCTAAATCTTGAAGTGTATTTCCCAGTGCTTTTGCTTATAATGTTCTTCCCAAATGGGTCATTTTCAAGGACCACTCCTTTGAAACACTACATTGGTCCCATTTGATCCATCATTTTAAAAATAAATGCAACTACTAAGACAATATCTGCTGGTAAGCCAAGCTGACACACAAACAGTAAGACATCTAATACCAGACATTATTAATTGGAGGAAATTTATATTGTGATTATGGGTTTGGCTGGGAAGATAACTACAAAATATATTATTGGGTATCATAACCTTTGAAAGAGATGATTTATGTTGTAAAATAATCCAGAACATTTCAAAATTATTCCTAAATTGTTAAGATTTTCAGGTATTTGCAAACTTCCCCAGGCAAGGTACTATTGTGCCTTTACTTCCCCATTTCTAAAAGAGGAAAAGTCTTTCCTAGTGGGATTTTAAGTCTGTGGCTTGACAACTCATGACACAGAGTACCCAGTGAAAGTGACTGATGTATATATTGTCAAGAGACTTAAGACTGACCAGCCACCCTGGCTGTCCCTTTAGTATTTCCTTCTGCCCCCAGAGCAAACAAGGAAAGGAAAGAAAAAAATGGTGCCTTAGTCTTACGTTGCACTTACATTTCTATGCCCCACAATTATCTGAACATAAGGCTCAATCTTTGATTTTTAAGAAAACAAAACATAATACAACTCATTTTATATCAACACCCTTGGAAGAAAGAAACTCAGAATCCTCCATCCAATGAGCAGACTTCTCAGGGAAGGGAGCCGGGAATGTGGAGTAGGGAGAGATTACGACAAAATCATTTTAAATCTCAAACTATGATACAACAAATTATGGCGACAGCTACACAAGCTCTGGTTTCAGTAAAACTAAAGGAGAAGGACACTGAAATTCAGAAAATTGATTGTATTCTATTTAAAATATTTATCCTATCTAGCAAGTAAATTTACCCTATGTTTGAAGTCTTTTAACTCAAATATTTTAAGTAGATGCTTTTCCTAAGTATTACTAGAAAAGGAATTTGAAAGCTTTATCTAATTATTTACAGTATTTTTATATTTCTTACACCATAATGACTAAAACTCTTCAATCAAGCCCACTTATGTACATTCTAGAAAATAGAATTAGTTGTGAAAGCATACAATTTCCCAGCCTCTAAAAATGTTTCTTTGTAGAGCTTATAATTAAGCATGCCATCTTTTAAAAATAATAAATTAATTCTATAGTACTGAAGTAGGGATTTCATTCAGTGCCAGTATTTATTAACTTTGCCCTCCTTGAGAAATATGAACTCTTTACAAGGTTAAGAGGAAGGCAGAGTTTCCTGACTTCTTTAGGTTATCTATTTAAAAAAAAAAGACCCTATCCTTCAGCGTGTCATCTGCAGATCACCACAGAGTCTAGAAGACATTTTTCCAGTCCCATAAAAACACACTCATTTGCCTTCATTTTCTTACTCACTAGACAATAATTCACATTTAGAAACAGGCCATCAACTATTTGATCTTAACAGGCAATGAATATAGCAATGAGCTGTGTTCTACACTTTTGAATTTTTATACTTTGCAAACAGAATTGAAAGTTGGGTAGGTACTTTTTTCAACAAAAGCAGTATACCAGGGTTGTTTTAGTTGTTACCTGAGTTTCAGTTTGCCTTTGTGAGCCTGTGAGTATTACAGTTTACTCGAGGCTTCAGTAACACTGAAAATTGAAAATAGATTATCTATACATAGCAACTTTTCATAAAGTATAAAAATTCAAAGGAAGCCAGTCTCAACTTGTGAATATCATGTCCCAGAAGTATGTTAGTTAATTGTTTAGAAATCAGAATTTATTCTCCCACAGATTTTCTATTATGGGATCCAAGATTAGTTCATGAACATGTTTATCCCAAATTGTCCAAACACATCATTCTAGTTCTAGCCTGATAACGGGTCCCAAGAATATAAGGATGAGAATGTGTGCACACCTCTTTACCTGCAATTTTGTACAAGTTTTTTTGTTGTTGTTCCTTTCCCATCATCTTTTCTGTACCTCAGTCCAAGGCCCACATTGCTCTTACCTGACATCAACATTCACCGTTAGATTTCAACCAGAAAAGTAATGCTTCCTAGAGGTATTTGCAGTTTCCAGAAAAGGATATTGCTTGATGCAAAGTAGTCTCTAATGAGAAGGACTTCAGTTGAATCTTCCCAGCAGAAGCAAAGGAGGTGATTAGGAACAATGTGCCGGTGAGTGGCCTCTTCCCAGGCTGCCCAGGTCAGTCCCTCGTACTGTTCCTGGTGACTTGGTTTCTGCCTTTTCCCCTCATTTCCTTCACTCCCTTCCACAGTCTCTGAAAGTGTCAAGTGTTTTTCTCCTCACAGTCTCTTTTGCTGCAACAGTAAGACCAAGTTCAAGGCAGCCTTTTGAAGTTGAGAACAGTTATTAGCATATATTTTCAAATCAAAGCAGAACAAGAATTTATACATTGCTTTGAGTTGCCTGTATTTACTGCCAAAAATGTGTTGCCCAAAAGTTGAGATTTTTCTCTTCTTATATTTGGTAAAGTGTGCTTCATGAATCAAGCATCTGGAAAACCCCAAGTATAAGGGAACCCCTGATTGACCTGCCCAGCCAAGTACATGCACTTTTTGCCAGAATTCCTCCACCATTAGAGGTGCATGGGTTTTGACGATGGAACCCTAATACATTGTTTATAGGATCTTGTCTAGCGCTTGCATCTCCTGACAGCTTTTAAAGGTGTTTAAGCTGCCTCTTTACACTATCTTATTATCTCTCTCCTCTTATGATTATTTTCCAACCTTCACCATAGATATAAAACTAGAACACCTTTAGCATTTGGGGATTATGTAATGACTGACCAATAAGGACCCAGGCAGCTACTAAATACATAACAGCTAAGATGAAAATATTTTAAACACATAAAAAAATGTTAAGGCACCTTGAAATGGAAACATCCTGGTACAGTGATCACTAGGCTTTCTGCTCTTGTTGTTTTAGGGAGAAGGCTTCTACAGTCAGGTGAGAGAGTCAAGTAGGCTTAACTGTAAGAAGGTAATGCAGTTACATATTACATATCCTTGACTTTGCCCAATACATCACAGCACTGCTGATATAGGAAAGTTTTCTTTCTCAGAAGGGAAAATCCATTTGTGTGAGTCCCATCAAACTGCACAGAACGAAGACCTTTGTTTAGAGCTGATAACACCAGCAAGAGGTGACAAACAGCAGGGAGGAAGTGTGTAGTAAATGTCGCTGTGAATGCAAACCTTTACATATATGATCATATTTAGTTCCCACAATAACTTTGGGAGACAGGTATTGTGTTCCTCGTGTTTTCAGATGAGGACACAGATTCAGAGAGGTTAAAAAACGTGTCCACGATAAAAGGTAAAAGGCAAAATTGGTTGCAAAAAAAAAAAAGTGTTCATGAATTCAAAGGCCATACTATCTCTCCAAAGTCCTCGGAGTCTAGTGTGACAGAAAGAAAATTTCAAGGAATTAGGCAATTAAAATAAGAGTATTTGATTGGCATCCCAAATCTGTGGGATGTTATGAGAATTTTAAAAATAAGAAAAGAAATAACGTTCATACATAGAAAGATCATGTATAACATATTTGAGTGTTTGAAAATAAAAGAAACCAAAATTTAAACTTTAATCTTAAAGCAGACATTCAGTGTTACTTTAAAAAAAACTCACCAAGTTAGGTTGAAATAATGGAATAACACTGTTTATAGCTAGCTATGAAGACAGATAAACATGGCAGGCTATGTCTGGAATGGCATGTGTGATTTGTAAACCTTTTTCAAATACCATTTGATCATCGCAGAATAAAGTGCCCTGTAGCCAACAGTGCCTCTTTACTTCTCTGGGAAATGCATGGTACTAACTGTGTGGGTCATCATCAAAGTTTGGGAGTATGCAAAATAAATGATAACCATTTTTCAAAATGTACATTCGCTGAAGAGGAAGCAGCTGGTTGGACAAGATTGTTTGAAGAGCCAGTGCTGAGGGAATCAGTTCGATATCCATAGTAGCCATGTGCCATAACAGCCAAATATTTCTAACTGTTTTATAGACAAGAAAACAGGCAGAAGGAAAATACAGTCCTGCGTTAAGCTGATGACAAAACTTAAACATGTTTGGGTACTGCTTAAGGTATCTCATTGAGATTTAGTGTGGCCTTGGAAAAGCAAAAGAGCACTTTTTATAGAAAATACAAGCTTGTTACTGGGAAAGATTTATAAAATTGGTCAAGAGCTTGACTTATCCTCCTTAAAAAGTGTTCTCCTCACTCACTAAGAGGAGCAATCTAGAAAACAAACCTTTGTTTGGGAGACCCATTCCTCTCTGGCTGTATTGTAGTGCTTGTATTTGATGTGGAAGTAACTAATAAATTTTGGAACAGAACACCATTTTGATTTTGATTTCCAAAACACAATTATTACTTCAGGGAAGACAAATTTAAAAAAAAATCATCCCTTGAGATAATCCATTTCCTTATAAATGGTGGCACCACTCAATCATTGAGGAAAAGCCACTACCACACCACTAGCTCTATACAGAACCCTTTCCCTATATCTTTGTGTAATAATACAAAAGGATTCCAGGGAGGGGAGAGCAGACTGACCATGCTTAATGACAAATTACCCTCAACTGCTGGTGAATCCCATCCAATCATGGTCCTTCCACTCTTTCCAACTACCAAGACCTGTTTGTATTATTAGTTCCTATCCTGCAGGTTTAATCAGTGGTCGTCTATTATCTTTTGTCTTTAGGACAGTGGTTCTCAAACTTTAGCACATGTCAGAATCACCTGGAGGGCCTATTAAGCCACAGATTGCTGGGCTTATGCCTAGAGTTTCTAATTCAGTAATCTGAAAATTTACATTTTTAATAAGTTCCCTGATGGAGCCAACACTGCCGTTCTGGGGACTGTGCTTTGAGAACCACTGCCTTGAAAAACATGCCCAACTGCTACCTTTAAGATCAACCTGACTTATCAAGCACTAGGGAAAAACTGAAGTTACCCTTGGGCAGACAACTTGGGATTGGAGTCTCTGCAGCATTCCTGCTCCATCTTCTCAGTCTCCAGTTTTACTATACCAACAATCGGTTTTTACAAGCTAGAAGACAATGAATGTATATGTTCTATGGAACAGTGACATAAATCTAAGCTTCTCATCTTTGTATTTAGAAACACTGATTCTGTGGATGATTTGTATCCTGTTGACCCTTTGACTTGTACTGAAGGTGATTTTAAATTTAAGTATGTAGTGTTTGCATTTCCTCCATCCATATAGTTTTAATGAGACGATTCCAAGTTGGCTCTATTATGGCCTTGGCTCCTGGCTTACAGAGACTTTTGAGTAGTTGCTTGCTTGCCAGTTTATCATCTCTCATTGGTCACCAAATGTTAGCACTTCGAGATGATATGACACTATATGCTGTACCGTCATCCTTCACTTGACTGTCTGGTGTAAATTAGTATTTTAATTTCCTATATATCTGTAAAGAGTCTATCAAATGGCTTTATGGAAGTTTGCAAGATGAACCGACTCCCTTTTGAGCAGTAGGTGTGCCTGTTTTGACTTTTTAGTAAATATGTCATGTTTGTGCACCTATCTGCACAGTGCAGACCATGCTCGTGATCTCATCTTCCAAGTGATGGGAAAAATAAAAATGAATCCATGTACTTTGGGGATGCAATGAGATCATGGTAACTCATATGCGGGGGGGGGGGCTTAGTTTATCTCTTAATTCTTCATTCAATTAATTAGTTTTGGAAATTATTTTTCCATTTAAAAGGGGGCGCATACAGGGAATGATTCAAGAAAAAAAGGAAGTACCTTAAAGTCATCACCCATTTATAAGCGATATTAATCACACATAATTCTTATTGAATCAATAGTTTCTCTAAAGACTTCTGCTGAATAAATACCCTAACAGCCCTTAAATTACCTTATACTACTATAGGAATAGAAAGTAATGATTATATTTATTAAAATTAGTGAGAATCAGAAAGCATATCAGAATGTTAATGGTGTCGAGGATTCAAATTTTTCCTCTGTAGATGGAAATAATTGAAGGGTTTTTTAATTTGGCTTTTGTTTCCCATAATCATTTTTGGAAATTATCTGCATATTTAGTTACTTTAATAATAACTAATTTTAAAATTAAATGTAAAAAATTAATCTCTAGGAATCGTTTATTTTACCAACCAATGCCAAAAAAAGGGAAAGGGAGATCCAAAAGCCAATCTTTTGAACTAACATGTAATTTGATGTTTTCTCTTACAATGTCAGGGAGGCTCAGGCCCTGACATCAACCCCATGAGCATCCATGGCTACCTCGTGATGTTGTGCAAGCTGCTTTGTGTTGCTTCCCCTGTTCCTTCATCTGGTTCTTGTGGGAGAGATTCTCTCGAATAAAATTGGATTTCCCATGGAGTAGGCAAAACTGGGCAAAAATGAATGCTTTCGATAGTTTGGGTTTCACTTCAATAGAAACCATGCAGTAGAATACCCAGGTGTGGCATGATGGGGCAGGAAGTGGTGCCTGGAGGGGAAGGTCGTTTTTCTTCATGGTTTGTTCGTGTTGGGGGATATGGAAGCTGACATTGATGGCCCTAATCATGCCAAGAGACTAGAATTCAAGATGCTTTTTTGGCTTTTCTAAGAGGAATAAACATAAATAAATTATAACCAGTTCCCTACTACCATTTCCCACTCTAGATAAAGCCAATGGGTGGCATGGGTCCTTTTATTCCTTATTGCATTATGCCAAAGAATCAACTTATTTTCATTGAAAATTATAAATACATGAAGCTTGGTATAGCCATAATGATTTGAGTCAGTATACTATTTTACCTTTAAAATGCAAAATTTATCCTTGCAACCCTATTCACCAGGAGCCTTGAAGCATTTTATTTACTCCAAAGGCCTTGTCAAGAAGTATAATTTTTGTTTTGCCTTCTTATTTAGTCAGTTTGGTCACATTTACTTAAAAAAAAAAAAAAAAAGCAGAAAACCACTCTACTTTCTATGTTGATATAACTGTTTGGTTTGATATAATCTGTCTGTTCCTTGTTTAACAGGTCTCTGTAAGCAAGCTTGCAAGTGTATTTTGTGTACATTTTATCTGAAGTGAAAATCAAAATTCTAAAGAGAAAATATTTTAAAAGATATTGTATTTATGTTGCTTGTGTTGTAGAATAAAGATTCAAATGCATTAAAAATCTGATACATATAACAATTCTTTACTGAATAAATATATCAAAATAATTTATGTAATAACCAGTGTTTACAGAATTCTAGCAAAAGAACTTGGTTTCTTTCCATGGCATTTCATAACTCTGAATTTCAAAGGCCCCTTTTTAATCCTATAACATGGAGACAGTCACTATTGACAATTTGGTATATACCTAAAAAATACATCATTGCTTCCATTTGTGCTTTTTTAAAAAGAGGGCTTATTCTACAATATTGTTTTGATTTTTTTCTTCATAAAAGCATATCAAATTCATATTATCAGTAGATATTGATGTAGTTCATTCATTTTTTAAAAGTATTACCTTTTGTTAATAAACTAAACCCCTCAATTAATAATAGAAAAGTTATTATTAAAAGGTAATATTGAAAAGAAAATATAGATGCGTTTAACTTCATGATCTTATTAGGTTTCAGTTCTAAGTTTCCATGTATCAAAACATCACACTATTTTATTAATAAATCAATCATTATGTCAATTATGTCAATTAAATACAAAATAAAGCTTTTTGAAAAAAGAAAACAAAATTTTAAAAACGACTGAGTGTTTCACAAGTCTGTACGAGTACAAGCCTAGGAATCACCGAACCCAAATCATGGCAAACTGCTGTTTGGCCAATAGAAGAATAAAAGACATGCAAACTGCTATAGAAATGGAATCTTTCCATAGGACCTTAAGCCATGATTCTATTGTCCATACACTGGTAATCTCAGGGTTATAACAAGACTCAATTACTTCCACCATAAGGATGAAAGAAAACTAAAATAGACATCAACATCCTTTGCATGAGAACGTCACAAATACCAGAGACCAATCGTGTTCATGGATGGAGACAGCTGTGGCGGAGTGGAGAAGATTTGGGGCCCTAGCCAGAAAGAGTGCTTTGTCCCCTCCTGGGAAACCTAGACAACAATGGACAACTCAGAGCTCGAGTGTCCTACTCTGTAAAATGAAAATAGTCACTTTACAGAGTAGGACACTTGAGCTCTGAGTTGATGACTTTCCTAATATAATAATGGGTTATAAAAATAATATTCTTCTGAAGTCTACAGTAGATTTATTTTTCAAAGAGAAGAAATGTATCAACAGTAAGTACTATGTAAAGGAGTTTAACTAGTTCATAAATAACCCCACTGTTTGCAAGCTGATTTATATTTGAGATCTAATAGGTACATATTCTTGGCATTTATATCCATAAGTGTTCTCTAACACAAAAAGCTTAATGTTTTACACCAAACTAATATGAGGAGGTTCGCAGTTTAGGAGCAGATCTCTTTAACCAAACATTTGGAAATAAATTCTAAGTCCAAGGCCAATTCTTCAATTATTAATATCCAGCAATGAATACACTATGTACATAATTCTATATGTATTTATTTAAAACAGAGACTTGAAACACTTTATTTGGCTTATGATTAAAACTTGTATTATAACTTAGCTTTGATGTATATTTTATATCACTCATTAAAAAATTCACTTTCCCATCCAGCTTAAAGGTAGGCTCAGTAAGCAAGTGAAGATAAGATCAAAACACAATGCCACATTGTGGTTTTCACATATTGACCAACATTCCTGTTATCTCAGACCTTTGAAAGAGCACTTTAAGCATCTCTTTTATCTTCTCCTTGTTTGTTTTTATTTATAGATTTATAGTTATAATATCAGGTCATTAGTGCCCTGAGTCTGCCCTGCTAACTTAATCTGGTTGCACAAAACATTTTGTTGTCAGAGAAACAAACTCTCTAGTTTAATGATCTCATTCAAACTCACATATGATAAAGGCATAAATCTCAAAGTAGTTTATAAGCAGATTATAAATACTTTCTTTTTAAATAGCACTAAGTTATTTTTATTTGAACACAAAGAGAGCAAATGTCCATCCGTTTAGAGCCAATAACTTAAATACTGAACTTCAGTTCCCTTTGACATGGTTTCCTAGTCTTCCTTATATCAGCATATAAGGAAGCTACATTAAGCTATGGTCCTAACTGGTACAAATGAAGTAAGGAAATACAACATTCTCCAGCAGTGTCTCTAGCAGAGAATGAACTAGAAATAACATTCTCCAGTGGTGTCTCTAGCCAAGAATAAATTACCTTCAGGAAAACAAATCAGATATTAAATGTTGTGATGCAGAAGACTTCATTTATAACTCGAAACAATGAGTATTGAAGGTAATGTATCAATTATATAGGAAACAAAATGTTGACTCTTATTATAGTTAAAATTTCAATATTCCAAAGCTTGTTTTAATCTTGCTCCCATGATAGCCATTGAGTCTATAACTACTTGATGGCTTTCCTAATATAATAATGGGTTATAAAAATAATATTCTTCTGAAGTCTACAGTAGATTTATTTTTCAAAGAGAAGAAATGTATATTATTATAGACCTCCCAGATCAAAACCATTTAGAAATGAGCTTCTTGGAGAATTAGCTGAGCATAGCTGATATTTATTCTAAGCACAACCAACTAAAGACAGGCAATTACACAGCATAGATCTAGAGAGTTAAAATTTAGACTATTGGTAAATTTAATTTAACTAACTCTTATTTCTATGGGGGAAAAACTCGCTTGAACCTTTGGAAACTGGAGCACAGCCTGGCATGGGGATAGAAAATGACTCATCAAAAGGTAAGTAAAAAAATTGCTTCAGATCTTCTTGACGATAAGAGGACCACACCATATCCTCTTAACAATACAAGGGCCACACCAGATCCTCTTAACAATAAGAGGACCATACCAGATCCTCCTAACAGTAAGAGGGCCACACCAGATTCTCTTTATATGAATTCAAAAAAACAGAGTTAGCAACATTTAAAGATGAAACAGATAAATTATAATTCAAATTAATTTTCTTTCCAGATTCAGGTCCCTGTTAATAACTATGCCAAGCCATTAGCAGGAACCAGTTTGCTAATTACTAAGCTAATGTTTATTCTAAAATATTCAATAACTAATACTGGCAATGACTTTACCAAAGACGTCTCATATATAAATGGTCAAATTCATTTATCATCACAATCTTACACTATTAATCAGCCAATTAGGAAATAAATCTAAATGAATTTTACCTTTAACACCAACAATGGGCCAACCAGTGTTGACTCATAATTATTTCTTCACTATCTTCATTTTAAGAAGAAATGTACAAACCACTGAAGTGATCATTTTCTTAAGAAGAGTAAGATTGAGAGGACAACTTTCAAAAGATACAAGGGGGTCTCTCATCTTTCATGTTTAATCTGTAACAGAAAGAATAACCTTGCGCTCATATTTTCTCTCTGAATGGAAATAGGATTATCGAAGACTTAAAATAAGACCCAAGTCTACATTCTCATGATCTCAATACTCAGAACTACGTAAAACAATTTATTTAAAATATCCGCTTTCATTCTCACCAACAGTCTCCAAGGTACGTTTTCGAAGACTACTGTTTACAGATGGAGAAAATAAATACTTAAAGAAGGAACAGAGAAATACGTGCTGATGATCATGTGACTAAAAGTAGGCGGAACCAGAATTCAATTTCAGCCCAGTCAGCCTGACTGCAAAGCCATGCTCTCTTCACCATGACGTGATAACTTGAGGTACAAATTAAAAGAAAATTAACAGCCTGGGTGAAGTCTTGCCCAGGGCATATCTCCAACCTTAGTTGAAAACCACCCACAAGCTTAAATTCAAACCTTTTTTTAAAATCCATATTCACAAAAAAATTGTGTTGGACTAGTCCCCTTGAGAGAACTAATATTCAAGGCAAGCTTAAAGGTCACGTTAAGTATTCAGCATTTTTAGAACTTCTCATTTTATTCCTGCATTAAGTTATGCTGTTGAGCAGCAATGTATTCTGATGAAATCATTTCAGCTTCCTTTAGAAACGCTTTCAGTAAATTAAGATTTAATGTTATGCCTTAGCTTTTAAAGAGGGTCGATAGAAGAAATGACCAACTTTGTCTTCCATAAATCTATATTAACAGGAGGTGCCTATTATGTTACTCATTTATTTTTCTATGTAAGGAAACATGAGGCCAATTTCCAAGGATTCAAAGCCAGGTATTACAATATGATCTTGTAATAGATAATCAACTTTTTAAAGGGGAAAGTGTCCTGGTTTGTTTGGTTTTGTATTTGTATTTTGCCTTAGCTGCCAGGAAACTCAGAACTAAATTCAGCTTCAAGGAAAGAAGACTGTTTAGGAACAAGGGAAGAGCAAAACCCAGGCCCCAAGGACCTCCTGCACTTCACCTTATTCACTCTTCCTAACAATTTGACAGGGTGGTTTCAAGCCATTTTATCTCATGGCAAGGGGAGTATACTGAGATAACTTTCCTGAGGCTGCCAAGCTAGAAAACAGTCAGAAATCAAGCCAGGGTCTGAATCAAAATTCAACTTTTCCAAATACTTTGAAAAAAACCTTTTCTTTTTCTTTTTTCTTTTTTTGAGTTGGAGTCTCACTCCCTCGCCCAGGCTGGAGTCCAGTGGCCTCTCCTGGCCACCGTAGCCTCGACCTGCTGGGCTCCGGCGATTCTTCTACCTCAGCCTCCCAAGGTGCAGGATTACAGGCTGAACCACCAAGCCCAGCTTAATTTTTTTTTGATTTATTGTAGAGATGAGGTCTTGCCAAGTTGGCCAGGCAGATCTCGAACCCGCGGGCTCAGGCAGTCCACTCACCTCAGCCTCCCAAAGTGCGGGATTACAGGCTGAGACACCGAGCCCGGCCGAAAAGAACCTTTTCATCCTAACTCACTGGATGTCTCCAATTTGTTATTAGTTTTGTATTATTTTCCTGTATAAACAATTATAAAGCCAGTATACAAGCAATATAAACCACATGATTAAAATATTCCCTTTAGAAATACGTGATTTTGCTAATATTGTGACATAACCACACCATATCCTCTTAACAACACCAGGGCCACACCAAATATCCCAGGGTTCTAGGTCCATACTAGGCAGATACTGTTTGGTGGCAAAAACCGGTGGCATAACCCAGAGAGTCTGAAGCAGGTGTCC